GTAGACAGTGTCCCCAGGCTGCAGCAGGAAGTCACATGCTATCAAGGAGCCCTGTCAAGGTAAAGGGGAATTTCTAAATAAATTCAGCCAGCAGTACTGAGAGGATGCACTGAACACGTACCAGGCTGTAAGCTGCCCATTGTCAGTGCACTCTGAACTAGAGTCAAGACCTTACATTCCCCAAAGTGGCCGCCCAGCCACTAGCACAACGTACCCCCATCACAGCTTGAATCAGAGGAGTTTTGTTTTCGTCTTCATCATTCACCCAGTTGATCTCAGCACCATGTGCCAGTGCTTCGGCCATGAGAGGCAGGTTTCGGGCTTGTGCTGCCTTGTAGATCAACAAGCCAGGATGCAGCTCCCTCAGGTCTTCCAAATCCGATGCCTCTTGTTCAATCTCTGCTTCACCACTTGACTCCTCTGACACCTCACACTCTGAGAGGCAGAAAAGGATGGAGAGAGATGACCCAAAAGCTTTGCATTGCCAATTTCTTATGTTCCCTGTTGTTCCTGGCCCCAGACAGTCCTGACCGTCCATCCTGCCTTAGCACTAGCTGCCTCCCCACGCTTCCATCAACAGCTTGAGACACCCACCTTCCTCTGTCACGCTGTCCACCACGGAGCCAAACACCAGGATATCAGTGCTGCCATCTGTGCTTCCTCCAAGCCCGCTGTCACTGCTCAGACCTGCAGGGCCAACAGAAGACAAACCAAGCCTATTTTAATACACAGGCATTCCAGTACCAGGCACAGCTGAGACCACAGGGGAAAAGGGCTGCGCAGAAAGTCACACACACATTGCACCGGCGCTGCCTGCAAGGGAGAGGGGGACTGCTATCCCATTTAGCCCCACTCAATAAAACTGCCCAAGGAAAAATTGCAAAGCCTTATGGTGTCCACGTCCCCGCGCTGCCCTTCATGCAGGGATGCTCCAACATTGCCATGGCACTTTGGACTGTTGAGGACAACCCTTGCTGCAATCCATGAGGGACGCCGTGACGTAGACTGGAGCAGAGCAGCAGCAGAGACAGCTTTGCAGCAGGTTATGCAGTGTCATAAGCAAATAAAGACATCCCTCTGCTTTTTACCACTAATAATCTGTTTCCACTCTATCCGTGCTCTCCACAGAGCTTTTTAGTTGTCCTGGGGGCACTTGCCAATGCATTGCTCTTGTGACAGATTATTGACCACGACTGGGCCAAATAATATCAGTGTGTATCTCAAGCCAAACTCTTAAAGCACTGTCCATTGGCTCGTTCACCTTCACAGACATCCCTTCCCTTTCCCCACAGTGCTTCTCACCTTCCCTGCTTAGCTGGTGAAGGTTACAAGACAGCTGACTACATAGAAGAAATGGAGTCACAAAGAGACGAAGCAGCTTGTCCAAGGACACACAACATGTCAGCGGCAGAGCCACTTTGTACCTTTTCCAGCTTGCACCCAAAAGCAGTCAAGAAAGTGACAGAACGGAAGAAGCACATGCAGGAATTGCCCCTGCGGGAACAGGGATGGCCCATCACCTTCGTCCTGAGGGATGCCCGGCCCCCTTGGGAACTCTGGCTGGACTCAGCTTCTTGCTGCTTTTAACTTCCCAATGACTGTAAGGGCTGGGAGTGTCTGTCCTCCCACAGCTCAAGAGGTTAAGTCCCCGTGATCTACCCCAAGACCTACACTCAAACCACTGTGATTAGAAAGAAAAACAAGCCAGGTTGTAGCTGACAAAGTGTTTCTAAAATATGAGCTGAGTAGTCTTTGCAAAGAGTAATAGCAGTAAAGCCTGCAAGAACTAAAGATCTGAGCCTTGAAAACCACAGCAGAACAAGACACCTAAACCTTAAAGGCTGTCTGCTGAAATCTTCAGAGCAGCTACAGCTAGGTCCCAGGTATAAAGAACAGTCTCTGAATCAGTGGTCCTGAAATCATGGCTCAAGTCATCCTTCAGCACTGTTCAACAGCCAAAGGAGATAATGAAGCAACAACAGGAAAGGTTTAAAGTGGCACATATCATGCGTATCTGGTTTTGGATCTGCTGTTAGGAAAATCATTGCCCTTTTTTGTAGAAAGCAAACAAACTGCTTGGTGAGACTGTGCTCTCCATTATGTCAGTACAAGTAAAGAGTGACTCCAATGAGGCCACAGGGCACTACTCTAGATTCACACCAAAGCAAAAAAGAAGGATCTGGCTCATATCACATGAATATTAATGTGTCAAATTCCCAGTTGTGTTCCCGTGGAATCAGTGATAAAATTCCTATTTTCTTCCACAGGAGCAAGATAAGGCTGTTGAGCAACTCTGAAGTCCTGCATCTCCCAAGTGTTATTTCTGTTGACTAATAATGCTGAATTCCTTGAAACTGGAATAGCCCTTAAGACACTGATTCAGAGAAGCACTAAAGCACCTTCTCCACTGATTTCAAGAGATAGCACATACTTGTAGGAAAGCCTGCAATCTTCTCTTGTGCTGACTCAGGACCTTAAATATTTCTCATAAGTTCATACAATAACAAGCAACTAAGTTTTAAAAAATTACCACTCCTCAGCTGAGTATGATAATGGACCACACGACTAGCCTGTGACAGATGTGGGGCATTTGAAGTAAATGCTTCTTACTGCCTATGTGCCATGAGATCCCACATGTATAGGATTGGATCCTGTATCTCATCCGAGGGCTTTAAGATGTAGTAACTTGACTGCTGGAAACCCTCGGAAGCTTTTTGCCTTTTGAAAGCCTGCCAGCCTGTCTTTCCCACAAGGAACCGGTGAATTATGGGTTCCAGTCATTTGGCTGAAAGAAAATACATAACTGTCTCTAAAGCTTGGTTTGGAACAAGTAAAATTTGGGTGTCTCTTTTGCTGCTAGCTGCCAGAGCGTCACCTTACCTCCGTCCAGGAGGAACGGCGTACCGCTCCCACCGGGACCAATGCCACTGCCACTCCATGGGCCACCTGTTAGCGGATGCTGCATAGAGATGTGGCTGGCACCTAGAGGAAGGTGGACGGAATATGAGGGGAGTTCATCGTCACAAACACAAAAAGAAAAATTGTCCGCAGTAAGACTTGCTAAAAAAGGAAAAAAATAAAAGCCAAAACTAAAACCAGAAAAAAGCCAATGGAATGCATAGTCTGGAAGTAAAAGATGTTGGGAAAAAATCCCATCCACCAGAATGGGAACACCAGGGACTGACTGGATAGGATATTAAAATAATAAGTGCAATAAAAGAGCAATGGGCTGGAGCTTGTGCAACTAACTCCCCATCACTCTTCTGAAATATTTACCCTCTCTCCAGTGAGGCCGATACCTTGCCTTGGGTCTGGTGCAATGCACATGCCCTAGAAGAACTGGGAGACAAAGTGTGCCAGAAGCAGACACACCTTCTTTGTACTTACTGCGTGGGCCGGAGCCAGCACCGGTGTCAAAGTAGGAGAAAAGAGAGTCCAGCTCATCGGGGCAGAAGAGGGAATCTCGACGGAACTTCCTCTCCAGCGTAGCTGCTATTTTACACAGAGAGATTTTGAAGTACGTAGTTAATAGCATGTAAATGAACAAAAGAGACATAGTTCTACAGCTGTATTTACATGGGCTGAGCTTGCACGTCCAACCAATGTACCCCAGATGTGTGCAGTGCCATACTCATGCCCACATACACCAGCAAAATATAACAAAGAGCTGACCATAGGTGGGGATGCACTGCAGACCAAGTCATCCCAGAGCATTTTGAGCAGCCAGAACCCTTCATAAGCGTGGCCTCTCTTACAGACCAGGCAGGTAAAAATAAAAGGATTTGTAACTTTTTAGAAAGCAGGAAGCTGGAATACAAAAGAAAATGCACAAAGCAAGCTTAGAAATTGCTGGATCACCCTAGCGTAACAATCTCCTCCTTCAGCCACGAGAACCTCCTTAAACAGATGGCAAATGTTAGGAAATGGCTCTAAAGACCTGTGTCAACACGGTTTGTGCAACAGCATTTTTGCTTATACCTCTGGCAGACTGCAGGTCCTAGAGAAAGACGGGGCCATGCGTGTTATTAGGGCAGCTGTGTACACACCTACAAAGAGTGGTGGGCAGGCCAACGCAGCTCTGCATGGGCAGCGGGGCAAGGGAGGTTCCCACCTGATGACAACATGGCTGGTGAGGCATTGCCTGCTTCATGGCGGTACTTTCTACGAGCCGTGGGTGCTTTTGTGGTGCTGTTGTGTCTCTGGCACTTCTTCACACACCAGCGTCGAGGTTTCCGCTCATTCTCTGTTAGAGTCTCCCCATTTGGCAACTTCTTCAGGAATTTCTTCTCTACATACTTCACCTTGATCCAGGCTTCCTTGTCCTGCCTAAGAGAAGAACAGCATAAAGCTGTGCATAGGCTCACATGATTCGTGTAAAGCAAATAGCCACAAGGAGATGAAGCTGCTCTGAGTCATTTTATCAACCTGGCTCTGAGTCCTAAAAATCATTGAGGCCTGTATTAAGAAGGAAGAGTTTCTCAAACCTAAAAATATCTCCCATTTCAGAGCAAAACTAAGAAGTGCAGTGTGTAGCTGAGAGTGGAACATGATGTTCAGCCCTAAGCAACACCACGGGCTTCAGTAACATGTATTTGTAAGGAGGTCTCAGAGTAGGTGTAAGCCCAGCAAGCCCTGGTTCCCAAGTATGTTTCACCAGGTTGCTGGCTGGTAATGCCCCACTGACCTTGCTGAGAGTCAAGCTCAGGTGAGCTACAGAGGGAGTGGGCTGAGGTCAGGGTGCCTGAGGTAGTCTGGGCCCTCAGTGAAGGGCCAGTCACAATCTGACCTTCCGGAGGTTACGGTTTTGGGTTTACCGTGTGGATGGATAGCTTTCCACAGGACTGAGAGGATCAGTGTGGGCACTCAGACTCACCTGGAGCTCCCTGCTGTTGGTTTCTTAAGTCCCAACTCTTCACACTGCGCCTCATAAATCTGATTCATGGTACTGTTCCCCAGCTCGCACATCAGCTGCAATACAACAGGGAATGAATTAAATCCTCAGGTGAGGAGCTACCTTCCCTCTAGTCTAGCCTGCCACCAAGTAAGGCTCCCTCCATGTCCACCATTTGTCTATCTCTTGCCGTTAAAAGCCAACACTCACTTTCAGTAACTCTGGCTCCCAGGAATCCAGTGTGAGAGATCGGACTTTGGAGCAGTGAACACCCAGACTCCTATTTATCCAAAAGGAAGAAAACTGAAATGGTTACATGCCTCAAAACAGAGCTGCTCATGCATCATAAGATGCACAAGATCAATCCAGTTCTTATGTATTTATCTATACAGATGTAGCTATAGCAGAGAGCTTTATGCATATGCATACGCAGATGTACCTGCACACACAGGTACCGCAGCAAGCAATTACTTTTGAATCTATCTGTACAAACAGTACAGTCAGCTGTAATTCAGGCTCCACCGTTTTTTCCAGGAGCTTGCAATCCAAATCCCTGGCTGGCAGCGCAAAGCACACATGCACACAGTACCTGTGGATACCAGAGCACTCAATGCACAGCAGAATGCCCAGGTTGATACTGGCCCAGCGAGGGTCCGGCTGCCCACAGTCACAGCACTGGTCGTTCCCAGGGATGCTCTGCACTCTCTGCAAGATGGTCTCTCCTTTCACACTGCGCTCCCGCGAGTCGGTAGCAGAATCAATGCTGCTAGTTGATGGGGAAGCAGTCCGGTCCAGTCTCTGCAGGAACAAAAAAAACAAACCAAAAAATAGGGTTCTAGGATTCTGCAAAGCACCGTGGAACAAACCAGAGCTTTGCATAGCAGAGGCATTGACAGGAAGCATTATCTGAAGAAGAATAAACTAGGGCTAGTCCAAGAAGGGAACGGGTAAAGCCTCAATGTCTTATTGCCACAACACAGCGCCGTACCCCATCCCTGCTCTGGGATTGCGGGCAGCACGCAGAGCATCGCCTGGCAAACTACTTGCTCTCGTGGTGCCTCACTTGCACTTATCCCAGCTAGGGAGCAAGCTCTTGTCCCAGGGAAACATAATTCGTAGGGGAACATCAATCCAGAGAGTGATGGCAAGAAAGGGAAGATGTCAGGACAATCCTCATTTAAAGCCTTGCCTTTATCTCAGCCCAGCTTTCTAAGTGTGGCTTTGGTTGGTGACCAACTGTTGCCTTTGAGTTAGCACTGACATCAACTCCCTTCCTTGAGGGCAGGAGAGTATTTCCAAATGGTGCACCCACGCACACGGGACCTGCCACAGCCCACAAGCCCACTATCAGGCCTCTAAGACACAATTATGGATCTTCCATGACCCCCTCACTCACTTCAATATAGTAGCTGTCAGGACTCTCCCGGTATGCAGAAGCAATGCTAGCTTGAACAGCCTGAATCCAGGCCTGACGCAGCTTCTCCGAGTCAGCCTGCAGCATGCAGCTCCTGTGAAGGAAGAAAATGAGTTGGAAAATCAAAAGGACAGGGTGCACATTTTGGTCAAAATTGTTCCACTTCATCTTCAGCATAGACATTCCAAGGTGGGGGGGACGGGGGACACGACAAGACACGGGACACGACAACCTTGATTTGACAGGCAAAGGGGCAAAAATTAATCCTACAAGCTTGCACTGTCAGAGGTGTTCCCTCTTCAAAAACTCCAGGCAGGTCTGCTAGCTGTTTTGAAAAGCTGACCATTGCCAGTTTGACTGTCTATATGTGTATCAGGTAAGTGTGGCCTAGATCTGACTTATGCTGATGTCTGACAAACTTCACAGGGACTCTAGAGTACAGGCAATGGTATCTCCCAATCAACATTTAATAGCCCAGGGCAGCATCTGCTCAAATCTAATCTCTCGCAGTTCCACGCATAGTCCAGCTACCAGGAGGATGGCCTAGGGAAGCCACCAAACTTACTTGGTAGGTGAGACGACCTCAAAGCAAAACCTCCTCTCTATATCTTCACATGGCTTGACAGTACAGAGCCTCAGGTCTTCCACCACTACCGTGAGGACATCCTGAAAGGGTGAGAAGAGGTGGCTTTGTTGGCTCCCTGAAGCTGTGTCATAGTCAGGCCTCTCAGAAAA